CCCCTCCAAAAATCCTTGCCTCCACATAATTCCTGGACCATGACAACTGTAACATCACTCTAGCACTACAAAAAGGAAGTAGCTAATATTTGAAGAAAAAGCAATCAATATTTTTAGTTGCTTTCCTAGTTTTAGACAACTGTATGTACTATTTAACAGCTTCTAAGTGACTAAGTTCTTGTCATTCTTTCCTTAGAAAATCTTAACTTTTTCACATTTTTTGAAAAAAAAATTAAAAATCCTATTTTGAGTAGGTGGAACCATAGGAAATTTGTCTAAAACTACTAAGTTAATTACTGCAGGCATGATTTTTTTGCTTACAGAATTCAATGAATTATTTGCTTGTGAAACGTTATGATGGAAGTTCTTGTTTATGTTGCTCTTTGTTCCCTTTTTTGTGATTAATTTGTCATGTAGCTCTGAATTGAATTTTTGTTTCATGCATTCTTCTGGAAAAACTGGTTTTCTGAATCCTGACTTTATCCATGTTAAAAACTACCTTATATTCTATGGGTAAATGATTTATTATTGCAGCTCTGCTTTCTGAACAGATTAGCACTTTTACAGAGAAATATTATAATACATGAGATGGGAGAGAGCTAAGATTTTTGCTGTTAGGCTGGGAGAAAATCCTTTTTTAGTAATTTGTTAAATATTAACTACCATTTTAACCATAGTTAAAATGATTAATAGAGTCTGCTGGAGCGTGGAAATTAATGTGCTTGTTAAAAATGGTGGCTTTAAAGCTTGTTCGACTAGGACTCTACTGCCATTTTTAATGTGTGGAACCTGTGACGCTCTGGGTGCTTTTAATTAGCGTGGCTCTTGGAGCTGCACCAATTAAATCACCCACTCCCCCACACCCCATGCTTCTTGGAGCATGGGATGCCCTAAGTTTTGATTCCAGAAATACAGCCACATGCCTGCAGTGGCCCAGGCCAGAAGCTGGGGAGTGCTAGAGCACATTTCCCTTCTCAGCTAGAGCACACAGCTTGGGCCACGGCTAACATGTCCAACTTGTGAGGAGGTGGTTTGTGGGGAATATGCAAAGCATCCTGGGATGCTGGGAGACTGTGAGTTAAACTGAATCTGGAGGGGATCTGGGACAGAAGTTTAATGAACCAATTTAACCTAAATCAGTTAAGTCTGATACTGCATCCACCCAGGTCTATTATAAACAGGTTTCAGACATTTTGAAAGCAGTTTGTGTACACAGAGTTTTTGTTGTGTTACAGATTTGAAACCACTTATACTGGTTTGTGTAATTTCTGTCCCTAGCCCTCAAGAATATGTTTTTGGAGGGTAAAGACAATTGAGCAAAATTCCAGTTAATCAAATGATTCCTTTTTAAACTTAAAAAATTGTTCATTTTGCATAAATAAGTAACTTTAAAAGTGAATATGTTTTCCTAGGTGGGACCGGCAAAGACATCCCCCTTTTTTAAAGTGATATTTAAATTATTGGTTTTATTTCATTCAGTGTTACTGTTGCTCCTTCCAATTATTTTTTTTTTAATTTTGGAAATAAGAAAAGTACACTTAAAACACTTAGCTGTTAATATTTTGAACATTGTAGATCTCAGAAGAATTTCACAAGTTTTGAGACTTGTGAAACTTTGAACTAGAGCAACTTGGACTTATTTAAAATAATCCTATCTTATTCTTCTAATTAATGCACTTCTAATTAAAGGAGTCTTTGTCCTTCTTCCATCCTCCCCACTTCCCCCCTCCAAAAAAAAAATAAAAAGATTCCAAAGCCAGGCTGCAAGTTATTTGTTTGGTTGGGTTGAAGTTGCAATTTTAGGATTTTAATTTCCATGTTTTTTCCCCCCAAAGGCAGAGAAGTAGCAGTAGTAGTATAGCTACCAAAAATAAATTGAGAAATGAGTTGATGCCAGTAAACAGAAGAGTCACATTCCCAATAATATACTAATTTGGAATGTTGTTCTGAATGGGAATGTTTTGTGTATGCATTAATTCAGCTGAAAACATTGCTTTCTGTAACAGTGCTTTTTGTGGAGGTCAAGTGATAGTAGAGCAACTTAAAAATGGCACATGGTCACTTTACTAAATAATGATACTGCAACTATGTGACCATTTATTTTTACTTAATGATGCTTTCAAGGCTCACTAGTTCAAAAGTTGGACTAATCCAGTGTGTGGTAGCTAGCTAGTGAGTGCATGTAAAGGAATTGTGCACAGCATGACTCAAATATATGTTTATATTTATCTGCTGAAGGTTTGCTAATCATCTAGCAATACAATATCAGTGTTGGGTTTCAGATTAAATTGGGTAGAATATTTTTATTTAGAAACCACAAAAAGTGTTATTTAAAAAAAAATTTCACAATGGACTTAAACTTTGGACCTGTTAACTTCCAAAATGAAAAGTGTAATTCTCTTTTCCCTGCCCTTCCCCACCTTTAGTCGTCATCAGGGATCCTGGTTTTCTCTGTTTTAAATATAGCAAATTCTCTGATTTACAAAAAATTAAAATCATGAAGTCTCTGATTTTAAAAAAAAAAAAAAAAAAAAAAAAAACCCAAAATTCACGATTAAATGGAATTGCATGCACGGTTCCATTGATATATTTATGGGTTGGAAGCCTACCAGTGCTTAAGTCACTATAATAAAATAGAATAAATTCTAAGTGTCTTTAAATTTTGGTGTTTGATTTTAGGTTTTTTATCATGGATAATCAGAGCTTCCCTTGCCCCCTTTGCTAACCAGGATGCAGGCCCCTTGCTCCCAAGCCACAACCCCCCTACTCTTACTGGTGCCCCCCAGACCTGACAGAGGGGGCCCTCACCTTCCAGGACTATGGGGCTGTGGGTGTGGTCAGCAACCCCCAAGCCCTGGCTGCTGCTTGCAGGAGGTGGCAGCTGCTGTAGTGGAGCAGAGCTTGGAGCCCGACTCCCCCTCCCTCATAGCCAACACAGCCAGAATGGGGGGTGAGGGTGGATGCGGGCTGCATGCTGTGGGTTTGGGCTCCCCGCCTGCCCCTCCCAGGGCCTTGGCAGTCCAGCAGGTGGGACCAGGTACAGCAGGGCAGAGTGGGGCTGGGTGGGGAAGCTTGCTGCTGCTGCTGGGAGCTCCACACTGCCATGGTGAGGCACCCCTGCCTGGCTGGCAGCAGTGAGGGGCACAACTCTGCACAACTCAGCCCCAGCCCTGCCCAACTCTCTCCTTCCCTTTCGTCCTTCATCCCTATGGGGGTCTAAATCCCTCTCTTCCCCTGCCAGGCTTACTGTGTGTGTGTGTGTGTGTGTGTGTGTGTGTGTGTGTGTGTGT